TATATTAAAAAAAAAAAATGGGATTTCAAAGACAAAACAGTTTTTCTTTAATTTAGCTTCATTCTCAGTTAATTTATTATCTCAGGAGTACATGCATATGAATACTTTTCACTGTGAGGACCCCCTGTGCAGTGTGGATGAGTTATGATACCTGCAAAATGCATCTGCATATGATAATTGTCCTCTCTCTCCTCTTTCTTCCCTTGTTTTTGTGCGTGTGTTTGGTGATGCATGCATGCCATCTTGCCTTTTAAAGACTTGCTAGTGGACATGTTGGGAGTGCTGGCCAGCTACAGCATCACAGTGAAGGAACTGAAATTGCTCTTCAGCATGCTACGGGGGGAAGGAGGCCTCTGGGTAAGTGATAGCAGGGCCCGAATGCGGCGGGTTAGACACAAGTGTATGTTAGTTTTACACTCTCACTTGAGTCTCCCCCAGAGAGCCATCACACTGATCTGTTTAGGGCTTGTTCTGTAACCGGCAAACTGCAGAATGAGTGAATGAGGTAATTGACAGTGTATTGACTGCCATCCAATCAGTCAGAGAGAAAGCCTCAACTGTCTTGTTATTACTCTTGTTTTATCTTTACCACCTGTGCAGCCGAAGCATGCGGTCAAAATGTTGTCGGTGCTGAATCAGATGCCCCAGAGACACGGTCCAGATGCCTTCTTCAACTTCCCTGGTCGCAGTGCAGCAGTAAGCTTTCACAAGTCTCCACTCTGCAATCAATTTCAAAGTGACGCAAATCTGTGCTTTTTTATGGAGACCTGCAGGTTATCCTGCAGGGATTGACAATCGTTGAATGTTAAAGGTGACTCGCATGATGTGTTCAGCAACAAAAAATTAAGTAAATCCATATATCAAAACATTTACCTTGATTAGTATATTTTGATTACATACAAACATTACATACATGAGAGATGTGAAGTGGTCTTAACATGTAGATGGAAACCGCTCCACTGGTACTGCATATACATGTACACTGTTAAGCAGGAGTAAAAATGTATTAACGGGTTTATAGAAAAAGAAAATGTGACTAATCATCCCAGTGTACGATTGACATCGTAGTGTGACCAAATAAGATAGGTGCAGTTCGGAGGTGCTGCTAGTTAATCTTGGGATAATATTGTAGGGGCAGATGGGTTGACACTTGTTACAGAGTGCAGCATGCTGTTCATTACCGTTGCATCTTTTTTGCATCATGCCAACACATGTTGATTAAGTAAGCAAATGAGTCATCACAGTAATTTCATTAAATGTAATTTTTCGCTGATGGTTAATGACTTGTTTTGAACTATCCTCTAAAGAATCCTAGAGATTAATAATAATACAACTTTTTCCAAATGCAAGTAAGACTAGAAATCCCAGCTGGATTTACTTTCAAAGAGGCTGGACCCTTGCCATCATAACAAATTCAGCAAGAATTATAATGCCATCAATCGCCCAGTAACATTCTGGAGTTCACCACATATTTGCAATTTCAGTTGTGTTATTTACTTTTATAGAAATAAACATTTGAGTGACCTACGCCAATATTTTACACATTTTCATTAATATTACTAGGCACAAAAGGAGCACAACGTATTCATTGTCACTTTTTAGCACCTTAGTGTTGTGGTGTTTTCACTGTAACTTAGTCTAGAAAGAGGCAGTGCAACACATTTTTAATACAATTGTCTCTCATACTGCACAATTTCCATCTCTTTGTGTTTTGTCCCAGGCCATTGCTTTACCTCCTATTGCTAAGTGGCCTTATCAGAACGGGTTTACATTCAACACCTGGTTCAGGATGGATCCCTTAAATAACATCAATGTCGACAAGGATAAACCATATCTCTACTGGTGAGTAAACAATTACTCGCATTTGTGCGCTCCGTGTTTCCAATGTCTTCAATACGTGCCGAGCTCTCTCACGGGGGTGCTGTAACATTATGACGCCAGAGAGAAGAAAATTACACTTTCCTGTTTTTCATCAATCTAATTGCCTTACTATTAGAAATCATTCCCTCTCTACAGAGTCCTATCAAGCTGCCAGCAGCTTTATTGACAAAGCAATATGCTGTCTGATACTCTGTGACCTACTGTGATTTCGCCATCTAAACAGATTATGACTGGAACTTGTATTTCAAGGTTAAACTAGTTGCACAGACACACATTTTCACACACTGGCAACACTCATGTATTGCGGTTTGTGAAAGGGCCTCATTCTTTCCAGGTGTGTGAGAGAGAGAGAGAGGGAGAGGGTATTAATTTTGATTTGAATATCTTCCACATTAGGCCCACATACCTTCTCTTGTAGGGGCTTGTGGGTAATTAGTGCTAAAATCAATAACTTAAAAAGTGCAGTGATATTCAGCTGCCGTTCTTTCTGTTTATGAGAGCAGCTTTGGGAGAAAATCACTCAATACAATGGGACATATACAAGAGTTGTGGAGGGGAATGAAAGACAAAGTTGAATAATAAGGATGAAAAGGTAGAGTTGGCTGACAGGGAAGACTGTTCACACTAATTGGTCAGAGATAACGGTATCTGTAGTTAGCTGTATTGTCTGCTGGCTGCCATTGCTTTACCTGGATCACACCGTTTGAATGAAAGCATCTACTCACCTTGGAAGCACTAGTTCTGCCTCTCTCTGATGTGAACATCAAAAAGAAAAAAAAAAAAAAAAAAGAAATATTGCCTAAGCTGTTGGTATTCATGCGGCAGCGATTCCTCGCTGACAGAGTCACAAAAAAGGCTGAGATATGCCAAGCTAATCCTGTTTTTATGCATCGCTCCGAGGGCCTCGTAGCTCAGTGGCAGGGCATGTAGACAACAAATAAAAGAATTGTATCTTCAGAGGCGGACCAAGGTTGCCGCTTTCCACCTGATGTGTAATCACAAGCAGGCTTGTCCACTGGAGCGTCTCGGCCGGCTCAGCGGTAGCTCGGCGTGAGGCTCTACATCTCTCTGGCCCGGCATGCGCCCCACAGTATTAAAGCCTATGCTGTCTTTATCTGCTTTGTCAAAGAGGCCCGTTTGTTTTAGATGGTGCCAATGGGCAGTGGCGGTTGGAGGCTTTGAGGATAGTAGCCTGCTATGGAACTAAAAGCTGTGGGAGTGTAGTGAGTACATGTCAGCAGTGATAGAGATGATCAATACAAGCAGAGAAAGAAGGGAGAACTAGTGCAGTAATTGTAAGGTTGTTTGTGTGCGGAGGGTGTGGGCTGTACTGAGTCTGCTCATATTGTATACAGGTGGCAGTGTTGACAGTGCTGACATATCTTTTATCTGTGGAGAGAAGGAGATCAGAATAGAGGGATTAACCATCACTGAAGTGCGCTCATCAACTAAGTGTTCTCCTCGTTGTCTTTGTAGTTGTTACCATGTCTGCACAATTTGCAGTAGCTTTAGACTCACCTCAGGAATTTCCCTGTTCTAGCTTGTTAAGTGAATTATCATAATTCTCAAAAGAATGGTAAGAGATACCCGTCATTTACTCCTGCAAATTGATTTGTGTCTGCTTAGCGCGAGGCGTTCAAAGATGATGTTGGCCCCGATCTTACGATGCAGAACGAGGCAACTAGGTCACTCCATTTATTGGTTTGTATGATTGCGCAGTATTGTAAAGGAGGAAATATCCAATAGAATACTTAGTAGTGGTCTGAAAACGTCTACCTTATGTGTTAAAATACATTTTATCCTGCTTGTTGATCAATTATTTAGGTTTACCCTGTCAAGTTCGCAGCTCACGATATATACTGTGCATGTTTTTTTGCTTACAGCTTTCGGACCAGCAAGGGCATTGGGTACTCTGCACATTTTGTTGGTAACTGCTTGATCGTGACGTCGCTCAAGTCTAAAGGAAAAGGTTTCCAGCACTGTGTGAAGTACGATTTTCAGCCCAGGAAGGTAAGAGCAGCTTTGTCTTTTAATCCTGTGTTTTCAGCTCTTATACGACATGCGGTTATGTTATTTAGACCAAAGCCATTTGATTGAAATGGCGGATCCTCAAGACAGAAGTAGAAGCTACTCCGGGTATATGTAAGCCACCTCTGAACATGGTTTGCATTGTATCAACCACTAAATGCTATAACTGCATCATGGCCTGTGCTGAAAAATAAGCAAGGCTTCAGATTTTATTTGGGGAAAAAAAAATAAATGACAATGCTGTTATAAAACACCCGGCAGTGTTGGCTACACCCCTGACTCCATACCCACCACCACATGGTCTTTTGTTGGTATTACAAAGTTGTATGTCTACATATACCGAAGTGTTTAAAACCCCCAGAAGGGTCTTACAGGTGTAATTGGATGTAAATGCAGGTGAGAAAATGAAACTTAATTTAGCATGGACTGTTGCGTCGCTGTCCCTGCAGAGAAGAGAAGCCGGCTCAAAGCACGTGTCAAACAATTAGAGCCTTCACATAACACCTGGGAACAAGCATTCATCCCATTCCTACTGCAACCGTGCAGCTATCGTTTTGCAGAAGCTCTTAGAAGATAAAACGTCTTGAATTAAGTTTTTAATTGATTTTGGGCTCAGACATCTGCGGATAAGCGTCGTCGTAAATTATCTGCGGGCAGCTTGCACTCTTCCCCTGAGCCATGAATCCTCTTTTAAGTGTCTTTACCTTTGTGTGTAGACGGCTGTAATTTCATTAGACTGCTCCCAGTGCCCTTTATGGGTTAAACTAATAAACAGTCACAGATGATGCTGTGAGTGGTTGTGCCAGTCCTACCCAGTGTTCGTACTAATTTATGAGCCTCTTGATTGTTTGTGTATTTTGGGTCTATTCCGTGTAGCCAGATTGCATTCATGCAGTCTGCAGCTCCAAAGCTGTGAGCGGCACATCTTGTGTTATGCTACGATACTTTTGTTTTCTGATAACAGAAAAAAGTCATTTTACTTCAGAACAATCATTCGTTTCCATAAAGTCTTTGAAATAAAAGATGTTGAGAGCTGACAAACTCTGAATGGCTGCAAGCTCTTGACCGTCCCGAGCTGCTGTTTATGTTGATGACAGCGTGGTTTGTTGATGCTGCTGATCTGAAGACAATAGAAGAAGAACCCGAGGGGCATCCATTTGTTTGTTTTTCAAGTAAACATGACTTTAGTGGTGAACAGCCACTTGTCCGTGACTGACTTTGAATTTTGTTTTGTTTTACTCTTTCCAATGAAAAGCTATAATGTAATATGTGTAGTTATGTTTTTATGTGCGGTCTGTATCACTTCTATGACAAGAACCCCACTTTAATGTCTGAAGCAGTGCAGCGCAGCAGTTCCCCGTCACTCTATACGTTTTCACCTTTACAATTCAAAGAGGCAAAAAGATGATCCGAGTAAGGAGAAACATTCTGAAAGACCTTTATCAATGTTAAATCAAAAGAAACTGATTTAACTTGAAAAAGTGAAATGCAGCTACAAAGTGTTCTTGTGAATATATAATCTTCAGCTTCTGCATCAGCAAATGTGAGCAAAGCAAATTAAGTGTAGATTGCTATACATACACTACTTAACATGTGGTCCACTTTGCTGACTTTGTTTGTGGTACAACAAGTAAAAAGGCTTTACTGCATAAACATTAATTATTTATAATATGAGAAATCTGTTGACAAACCTTAAACTCTGAAGCAAATAACTATATACAGTATATGTATATATATATATATATATATATATATATATATATATATATATATAT